AAAAAAAGTATGCATTTTGACCCATGTATACATTTTAAGCTTAAGGCTTTTAGCTGATATGATAAAATATGATACAAATAGAAACACAAGACTGAAAATGAGAGTAAATGTGTTACCTGAGGAGTAAAAAGCAAAGAAGACAGCAGCAAATATGACATCATGGAATAGCATATCTCTGTCTATAAATTTGAAAAACAATGATCTTTTACATTCGCAATAGATCAAATGTTGTTTTCTGTTGCTTATTATATACAACATCACTTAATTCACTTTTTCGAAAAACTTGTCTGTACGTATTTTTTACATGTTACATTCAATGCAAGCAACAAGACAGCTTATTTAATATGATGAACATTTCCCCAGACATGCTGAAATACTGAAACAAGAACGCTTATACATATACATATATACAAGTCTTGCCAGTCCTGTTTTGTCATTTTGGGTGATCACGATCACTAACAACTTTTAAAATAAATGCTATACTATTTTGTTTGGTCACCTGTGACTTACCTCGGAGCTGCTCAGAGACCAGTGGCTTCCTACAATATTGTTGTTCCTATCAAAAGCACAATCTATTTACATGTCAGACAGCGAAATGTTTTTCACACATCTGTTACAGCCTCACTTCCTGTGCCGTACATATTCAGGAAGGCTGAAGGTCCCACCTGCAAGTTACAGACATGAATTCATTTATTGAATTCATTATTTTTCATGCAAAGTCTGTGTTGGCCAAAGGTTAATGCTTTAAAAACTCCTTTGCATGTTTATGCATGCAGCTATAATGAAAGAAATGATTTACTTTTTGTATTTCTGTGCAATAGGTTGTTAGGTGGTAACAGGAAATCTGTGATCTGACAATGACATGCCTGTGTCGCATGAAACAGTACAGCTAAACTTGATGGTCATATTCGTGAGATGTTTCTGATGTGATTTTTTTTCTTTGCATTGTCTTTAAGTCAGTAGATTAACAACAACCAGAGCACTACTGTATTTTGCTTTTGTTATCAGTTGATCATTATCTAGGATGCTTAGAAATAATTATTTAAGGGAAAAATGTGTCGTATCTTTCCCATTCTACCAGTTTACTTGGATCTGTCACCGCTACGGTGATATAAACGCACAAATAAGACGATGAAGAATTTCCAATAACACTTTAATAAATCCACAGAAGGTTAATTTACAGCAGGCAGGCAGGTGACACACGTAGGGAACATTCACAATACCGGACGAAGACAGAACGAACAGACTTGAACTTAAAGGGGTCATATGATGCGATTTCAAATTTTCCTTTCTCTTTGGAGTGTTACAAGCTCTTGGTGCATAAAGAAGATCTGTAAAGTTGCAAAGACTAAAGTCTCAAATCCAAAGAGATATTCTTTATAAAAGTTAAGAGTCAGCCATGCCTACCTAAAACTGCTCGTTCTAACATGCCCCCACATATCTACATCACTATGTGGGAAGATTTGCATAACGCCACCCAAATGTTCACACAAAGAAAGAAGGCGTAACTTTTATTCTCGCTGTAGTATTGTTGCAGCCGCCATGTCGTGAAGGCGCTGTGTGTCTCGTTGTGAAAGCGAAACTACTTTGTTTGGCCTTCCAAAAGAGGACGATATCCGCTTCGTCATGCCTAGAGCTGATCCGTGCTGATTGCTGAGGAAATACAACAACTTTGCGCTGTGAATTGCCGGATCGGCTTTCACCAATTCTCCAATCACAAATGCAGACATAATTTTATGTTTACGCGGCGCGATGCAACACAACGCGTAAAAAGACAGTATAAGTCATTATAATCCATAATTATGTCCCCACTGGATGCAACGAATGCCTCGTTTATAATGGGTTTTCATGTTTTTGAATCATCGCCCCGGCCTGACAGGGCATCATCACAATATGGTAAGGGGTATAACATTTCCGTCACACACTTGAGGTATTCGGCCAATCATAACACACTGGATAGCTGGCCAATCACAACACACCTTGCTTTTCAGACCGATGAGCTTTGTAAAAATCGACGCGTTTCAGAAAGGCGGGCCATATAGAAACATTAATGTGTTTTTTTAACCTTAAACCGCATAAACACATTTCATTACACCAAATACACAAAATAATGTTCTTTTTAGCAGCATCATATGACCCCTTTAAGTAGGGGTGCTAACAAGGCTAATCAATAGGACACAGGTGAACAGAATGACACAATCAGACATGAGGGAAAGCTCGTGGACACCCGGGAGGAGGACGACAAACAGAGTCCAGGGAGGAGACGATGGAGGGAGGAGCCATGGAGGAAAAAGGAGGAACCAGGGCAGATCAGATGGAGGGAGAAGACAGGAGGGACCCAGGCTGCAGCCATGATGGTGGCCCACGGTGGAGCCGATGGAGGGAGGAGCCATGGTGGAGGAAGGGCTGCTGACTCCAGGGGGCCAACCGACGGCGGCATAGTAGGTGGTGGTGGAGCCCGAGGTGGAGACGGAGAGCCGATGAGCCAGGGTGACGGGGAGAATCCGAAGGGCCAAGGCGGAGCAGATGGCTCCAGCGACCGAGGTGGAGGCGTGGATCCGGAAGGCCGTGGTGGAGCAGGAGCAACAGAGGACTGAGGTGGAGCCGAAGGGAAGGAGGAACTTGACGGAGCTGGAGGGATGGAGGGACGAGGTGTAGCTGGAGGAGTGGAGTCCCGAGGCAGCGGATGGTCGATGACAGACCAAGGTGGAGCCAGAGGAACAGTGGAGCACGGCGGAGCTGGTGGACTGATGGGCCACGGCGGAGAGGAGGGAGCTAGGAGCCATGGTGGAGCTGCTGGGTCGAAGGGCCGAGGTGGAGTCCTGGACTCAGAGGCTGGAGGCGGAGACAAGGGATCCTCCAGCCATGATGCCGGTGGAGACTGGCAGACCCGCGGCGATCCCACCGCACAGATGGTGGGCTGAGGGCGAGCAGAGGGGCTGCCAGGAGACAGAGGATACAGGGGGCTTAGGAATGGTGTATACTGCCCACACACACACACACCACAAGGCCACTCCCAGCAACGGGAGCGCCAGCGATAGGGGAACGACCTCCGTGGTCGTTTCAGGACAGGCAGGTAGTTCAGGGCAGACAGATAGTTCAGACGAAAGCGAGAGAATAGGAGGCATGTCTACATATATATCCAAAACAAAGTCAAATAAGTCCACAGAGTCCAGCAGCAGCTCACCCTCAGCGGTGGTGCTGACGGCAGGGCTTTCCTCAGAGCCCTCGTGCTCCCTTGCATCATCCACCAGCATGTGCACAGTTGTCGGCTTTCGCACCTGGTCTGACGTCTCAAGCAACTCGTCAGCTCGTCGGTCGCAGTAGGCTCTGGCTCTCCATCAGCGGTGGGCTCAGGCTTTTGGGGGAACTAGGTCATGGGCACATGAGGGAAGGAAACACAAAACAGCCTAATGGGGTGTGACAGGATGCTATGAATTATGCTGTTTTTATTTTCTTGCTAAATCCAACCATTGGCTCAAAAATATCTAATAATATCTCCTTTTATGTTTCACAGATGAAAGTAAGTCATACAGATTTGGAACGACATGAGTAAATTATAACATGATTCCAGATTAATTCCAGGTAAACTATCCCTTGAAATTGTATATAAATTCTCTAACCACATATAAATAATGATGATTCAGTCATAGATTAAAAAAAAAATCTTTTTTTTTTTAATTTAAATCTAAATTTAGTATTTAATCTGGAAATATGAAGACGTGTCTATTGTTTAATTTTTCTTCAAAGGATGAATCTATATGGATCGAATGTAGTAAATAGTTGCAGATTGCAGAATATCAGTTATAGTAATGAACTAAGAAGTAAAGAACTAAAGAAATGCATTGGGTCATTCTCAATACATGACACAGCTTTACTTAATTATATGGCTTTAAACCTCTTGATTGATTGATTCAAAATATGGTTAGGCCTTCATTAAATGGACTTGATTAATTTGTATAATCAGCCACTAGATGGCACCCATGAATTTATTTTCATACTAGTTTGTCAATTTGAAGTGGAAATGTGATACAATGTTAGTTGTACATAAGGGAGATTTTGAGATTTTTGTCACAATCCATTAAGTGTAGCCTATATAAGAATGTTCTCTTGTAGTACCTTCTGATTTTGATGTCTTTTGAAAATAACAATGTTGGTTATCTAAATGTGATTTCTTTCCACAGTAATTTATAAAAACAAAACAAAACAAAACTTGACCTTATTTCCTTAAAGGATTTTGTGGTTATACCATGACCAAATACATACCATGATTTTTACTGAAATGTATTTTGAGTTTATTTGGATTTATTATTCTTATAATTCAGTTTATTTATGATTGAATATCTATTTAATACATTTAAATTGCCTGCATATATGGTGCACTCTAAAAGACTGCTCGAGTGCACACTCGAGTAACACTAAACACACCCTTGCCTTAACAGCACAATGATTAAGTGCCAAATGACAAAGGCAGCCTTTGACCATTTCCTGTTTTGCATCTGAACATTCATCAGCCAATCCCATACTGCAGACTGCGTACCAATCAAAACACCCATTTTAAGTTAATCTAAGGCCACTTCCTGATTTCCCAGGGGGGCCAAAAACCACACAATGCACAGTATTAGAGCCAGCAATCTCCTGAATATCACAATATCACCCCATTGACAGTTTGTACCTTTTTTCTGAGAGTGTACGTTCTGAAAATATAAATGTTCATAGTTCAAACAATGCAATCTTGCAGAAGTCTATTCTGTGGTATCTATTTGAATATGTGCCATATTGGTGTTTTTTATTTTATTTTATTTTTTACTTTTATTAGTTTTAATAATTACAAGGAGGGCTCAGGAAATTTTGAGTCTTGTGTTTATTCCTTTATGTGCTGCTAATATTATTGTTGCTGATTTAGTCACAGAATCTCACAATAAAACTGACTGGAGACAATTTATAATAATTAACTTTTACACTTTCACTTTCATTTCTGTAGAAAAGATCTGTTTTTATAAGCTTTACAGGTACAGAATAAGACTTTGAGTTGGGAAACAATTAATACAATAACAATAAATACTTTAAGAAAACATACATTTTATCAAGTAGTTAGAGGTTTAGGTAAAAAATTACAGTTAAAGACCATAACACGATGTGATCGTGCTAGTTAAGATTGCAAGTTTTTTGCTATACAAAGAATAGGAAATGAAACCTCTTATTTATTTGAAAACAGAAATGTTCATCAGGAACTGCACGACAATCTGCCAGCTGGTGTAGAATTGAGGAACATGATACCATGTGTACTAACTGCTGGTAGAATCATATCACAAGCATTTAGTGCCCAGTATACAATTGTAACTGCCTTATAATTGCATACAAGATAGCATAGAATTATTGCATAGAAGATAGCCTAGAATCGAACATGACAGCAAGTCTTCAACAATCTTAAAGTGTGTTGCCGATTACATGCCTTGTGGTATTGGTTTAACACTCCCAAGCTAACCAATACCACATAACATGAATAGGCTATACATTAAAGGAATAGTTTACCCAAAAACTACATTCTTGCATTCTTGGAGTTGTGTGGGTTACTTGTGAATTATTGTGATGTTTTTATCAGCTGATTGGACTCT